GGAAGCCCGCCCGCGCCGCCATCTTCTCCAGCACAAAGGGGAGCGGACCGGAACCGGAGCTCTGACATAGAGTGCGCGCGGACACCGCCCTAGAGCGGCACCTCCTGCAGAGAGCGCCCCCTGCCGGCGGGAGGAGCTGCTGGTGGTGGTGGGGAGCGGGAGGTGGGGGGTGGGGGAAGTTGGTCCTGAAGGCGGGGAAGGGACGGGGTCCTGGGGGCTGCAGGGATCCCAGGGGGCTTCAAGGATCACTATTGTGGAGGAATAGAGTCCTAGAGAAGAGTGCATGGGGGTATGGCAGGGTGTTGGGGGGGTGCACAGGCAGTGGGGAGGGCAGTGGGAGGGGGAGGGGCCGTGAGGAGGAGGGGCGGAGGACCTGGAGTGGGCTATGGGAGGGTGTTGGGTTTGGAGGTTTCAGATACCACGGGGTATTTGTGGGGGGGATGCAGGAGGTGTGGGAAGGGGCAGTGTCCTGGGTGGGGGGTGCACTGACCATGGGGAGGTGCATATGAGGGTGCAGGGTCCTGGGAGACAGTGCTCATGGCATCGAGCCTCGATGCTGTGACTGAGTGGGGGTGTGGGTGCCCTGGGTCCCCCATTCTCACAGGTTCCCCTGTCTGGGACTGCTTCTCTCAGGGTTGGGGGATGCCCGGAGGGGGATTCCTCCCTCAGCAGCTGCTGCACAAGGCACAGCGCTGAATTAAAGGCCGCTTTTTGCAAGTATTAGCATTACTTTCCCTGTCCCCAGGGCACTCATCCGTGTGGTTGTTCACAGAGCAGAGGGGCCTGCATCCAGTCTGCATTAATACATGAATAAAAACTAAGAGAGCAGTCACACCGCAAGTATTAATTAAGCAATTAATGATGATCATGGGCCATTTAGGAGGCTGTCCTGTACAGTGCGTGGCATTGTTGACTGAGGAGAGAAGTGGGGAGGTGTTGGCACCTTTTCCACCAAATTCAGTGTTTCCTGACCTCGATGGAAAACAGGATGATGCTGTGAGCACAGCCATTAGCTGTTGTTTCAGCATCCATGTGTCCGTGCAGTTAATGTAATGCCACCTCCGACAGCCTTGGCGCCTGGCTGCCTGATGAAATATTCATGGGGAGGAGAAGCGGTGGAACTTATCTGCTCCGTATTGTTCAGATGCAGCAACTTCAAGTGAGGCTTAAAACCCGGCAGGAGCCTTGGGCAGGCTGGGAAGTGCCTGGGAGGGACAAAGAGAGGGAGAGAAAGGAAGGGCTGAGCTGAGAGATGAACTCTCTCCAGCAGCAGTTCTCTGTCTGCCTGGAATTTGGGAGCCCAGCACTGCACCCAGTGCTCCAGTTGTGGCCTCTCCAGGGCAGAGTAGGGGGGAGATGCACCTCCCTCTCTCAGCCAGCTGTGCAGTGCACCCCATGGAATCGTTGGCCTTCTTGGCCACCAGGACACACTCCTGGCTCATGGTTACCCTGTTGGCCACCAGAAGACCCATGTCCTTTTCTGCAGAGCTCCTTTCTAGCAGCTCAGCCCTTGTCCACTCCTGTAACCCACACTTACAAAATGCAGGATCCTAAGAGATCCCTGAGCTGAGCGTAGTGTTGCCCCAGCTCCCTCTCTCCAGGGATGTTCTGTTGCCAGTTCTCCTTGTCCCCTGTCATTAGCTGTGTTTCATAAGAAACGGGGGGGAAAATAACCCAGTGTCTCCTTACACTTGTCCTTTCTCCTTCCCTCTGCCTGAGGGTTTGCTTGGTTCACTGCTCAGTGAAATGCTACCCGTGCACCTTCGTTTCCTGCACCTGCTGGCATGAGGCAGCTCTGCTGAAACCTTCCCCAGCCTGCGTGGCTCTGGCTCCAGGCAGCCGAGCAGCATCCAGGGCTGTGTAATTATAGCCCAGCGCCTGTTTCTGCTGGCAACGTTAGCAGAGAGCAAGTGGTAACCAGGAGTTATTGCTGTGAAGGAGAGGAGGTGATGCTATCTGTGCTGCCACTATCTGCATGGTGCGTGATTAATCCTTGCTCTGTAGGGTTCCAGCAGCCACACAATCAATGGTGTGCAAGCAGGTGCTTCCCAGCAACCTCAGGCTGAGGCGTGCAGCACCTTGTCCTCGCGTGCATTGTCAGTGGTGCTTCCTGGGGAGTGTAATTAACTCCTTGTCTTGTGCGCAGTGTGCACCAACAGCCTTGGATGCACACTCTACATGCATCACACATCTTGCAGCGCGCCAGCTGTTTGCAGCCCATCCCTGTAATCCTGAGCAATGCAATGATCCTTGTTCCTTGCTCTGGTGGTGTATGGATGGTGTGCACGTTGGAGCCTGGAGTCAGAAAATGTACAACTTGTCCACTGCTCTCGTTGGGTCCTGTCTGGCTTCTGTCCATGCACCCATCCCTCACCTATTTCAGGCTCCAGGGCTGGGAATTGCTCTGTCTGTGCTGCTTTTGGGGTCCCTGCACCCCTCTGCGAGGCGGTTCCGGGCTGTGACTTGCACGCTGCTTCCATCCGCAGCAAAGACCTCAGGCTGAGGCTGAGGATGCGATGCGAGGTTGCAGTGGATGGAACCCAGCACGTTCTTGGGCAGCTGGGGAAGAGATTGTGGGGCTGAGCTGCTGCCTGCCCCTGCAGCAGGAGCTGCTGAGTGCCACTGCAGAGGTAGTGAGCATAGTGAGCTGCTCTGGCTTCACAGTGTCTGCCTGCAATTAATTTAGGTTCATTAACTCCCTTCTGGGCTTAGCTATATCATCCTGTTCCTATTCAAAGCCCACCCTGTGGCCTTTGCAGCACCAGCTCTGGCAGAGGAGGACTGGAATAGCAGCAAGTCTCTTCTAGTTTGAATGCACACCACCCATCTGCTATTTCCAGGAGCAAGTTTGGCATTTCAGCATACCCTGCCCACTGCCCGTTTGCTATTATTCAATCTCCATTGGGTCCCTAGGGCTTTTTTTGGATGCCCAGTGCTGGATTTGGCATGCTACTTTTGTTCTTTGCAGCTAGAAATCTGAAGGACAGAAACTGTTTACAAATGGCTTGTACTACAGCTGCTACTAACTTGGTTAAAATAAAACCAGGTAATATTTGAGTTCGTGACGCATTTCTGCTGACCTCAGGGGGATCTGTCCCAAAACGGAAGCGTTGGAGCTGCTGAAGATCAGCATCTGCACAGATGTGAATCCTCCTCCCTCTGCTTGGGAGCAGAAGTCGATTCCCATCCTCCAGCCCCAAAGCATCTATTGGGTGTGCTCATGGTGGAACAGGACCAGGGATGTGGGGCTGGAGCCCACCTGAGCACCAGGGCTCAGTGAGGAGCATTTCCCACAGCACAGACAGGCTCGGTGCTCATCAATTTTATCATTCTTTATATCGTCGTTAAGAGTAGCAGGTATTGATGTACAATGCATCTGTCATCTTATTGTGCTTCCTATGAAAATGTGTGTACATAGTACAGATACCAGAGAGAATTCAACACTTTATACACTTGAAGGCATTCAGAGATCAGTAACAGAAAAAAAAATGGCACAAGAACAAGGCCTAGATGCTACGGAATGGATATCTACACTGATATGATGCATGTATAGATATATATATATATATATGTACACATATATATATAGTCATATATATTATATATAAGAAATATAAAATGCAGATGGCATAATAGAAACAAACCAAAAGTTGTATGTTCCAACAGGCGAGCCTCAAGGTCACATCCCAGCCCCATCTTTAAAAGCTTTAACGGGCGAAAAAGGAAGAAAATAAATACATGAAATGCAGTGAAACATTAGGAAAAATCCATAAGAAAATTTATGGATGCGGCCAACCTTTTGTCTTTGGGTGATTGCTGGATAACAAAGGACTGACCCCCAGTTCCTAATTTTGGTCAGGAAGCAAATAATAATGAGGATAATAATGGGGGGGGAAAAAAAAAAAAGGGGGGGGGAAAAAAGTCTAGAAATAATAACTACTAAAAAGACTTATTGCAAAAGCTCTTAAAGAGAAGAAGCACTTCAGCCCCAGGAAGGCTCTTGCTTGGTGTGGGGGCTGAGGGTGGCCAATGGCCCCACTGCTGGGAGGGGGCAGCGATGGGGAGAACTGGGGGGCCCGGGCCGTGAGCTTCGATGGTGCCCAGGGCTCATGGCCCCCAGGGGTGGCCGTTGTTGGGGGTTGGGAGTGGGGTGGGAGCCTGCAGCCCTGTGGCCAGTGTGCCGCAGAGTGTCCCTTAAATCTGTCCCTTTGTTGATGCTGGGGCTCCTATGGCTGCCCAGCCAACTCAGTACCGAGGGGAGCTGGAGATTTCCTTAGGCTTTTCTCCCCGAGGACGGTTGTTTTGAGGGCTGCATGGGGGGAACCCCAGATTTCCTGGGGACTGCGGGGTAGGGAGGCCACGCTGTGACAGGGCAATGAGGCCCCACACTGTGACAGGGCCCCACACCATGATGGAGCCTCACACCATAACGGGGCCCCACACAGTGACAAGGCCATACACCACGATGGGACCCCAAGCCATAACAGAGCCCTACACCATAACCAGGCTGCAGGCCCTCTGCGGTCCCCCAAGGCACAGCCCTCCACCCAGCGGCCCAACATTGCCAACCCCGGGGCGGAGGCCGAGGAAGACATTTTGGAGAGGTGGAGCCGCTCCGTTTTGTGCACATGGAGCGGCTGCGGGCGCCCAGGCAGGGCTGTCATGGTGAGAGACGGCCCAAGGGGCTCTGCTGGGGCTCTGAGATGATGCCAGGCACGGGGACAGGCGCAGGCTGAAGGCTGGGGAGCAGAATGAGCATGGAGACGACGGACGGACGGACGGACAGACGAACAGGGCTGTGGATGGAGACTCTGCGGCCCGAAGGCTGCTTCTTCTTGGCTTCTGGGTTTCTAGTTAAAAAGGCCGAGGGGAGCCGAGGGGGAGGAGACGGGGCAGGCCCGCGCCCCGGCCCGCTGTGCGTGGCTCCACGGCTGGGCTGCAGCCTCCTCGAGTCTCTGAGCCAGCGCGGCCCGGCCCGGCCGCCTGCTCCGAAATCTGAGGCCGCCGCTCTTGTCCGCATCCCGCCGTGGCTTTGAGCGAGGTCCCCTGGCTGTGTCTCTCCTCTGGGAGAAGGGCAGCTCTCCGGAGGGCTTTGGTAGCTCGGGTTGTTGTACATCCAGACGTCGGTTAGCAGGTGAAGTCCTCAAAGGTGCCCCGGGCCGGGTGGTGAGGTAGGATGTTCGCTGCGTACGTCATGCCGGCCGGGTGACCCCGTAGGCTCTCACAGGGATTCTGCAGGGGCAGAGATGGGATGCTGTGGTCACAGGTTTCACCCAGAACCGAGCCCTATCTGCTTAGAGCACCAGTGCCTGCTGCCACTTCTCCCCCAGATGCTGACAGTGCCCCCAACGAGACCCTCGGCCCGGCACTCACGTGGCGTTTCACGTCATCCATGCTCAGCGCAACGCCTTTGTCCGTGTTGTTCCTCTTGTGGTTCTTGCGGCACTTGCCCCGCCGGCACAGCCGGTGCTTGATCACCTGCAGGAGATGGCTCTCAGCTCCAAGATGGACCCCATCATGGGGGGCTGCCCCAGCCAACAGGGGGACGTGGTGCTGAGGGGGCTGTGTGGACCCCACAGGAATTAGGCACAGTATTTTGGGGCTCACCTCATAGGCGTAGTCAAACAGCTCCAGCACGGTGAGGATGCTGGCCCCGATAAACAACCCCATCTGTCCTCCGATGTCACCTGGGGGGGGAGAGGAAAGCTGTCAGCAGGGCACTGGTGGCGGATGGAGCAGAGAAAGGGCAGAACTCGTCGCTGCTGTGACCCTGGGGGTTGCTGTGCTCTGCTCTGCACCCACGCTGTGTGCACACCATGGTGCCCCATGATTGGGGTGACAGCACATGGGGCCACACTGAAGGGTGCCAACCTGAGCCCTCAGCACAGCCACCAGCCCACAGTGCTCACCCAGCAATCCAGCCACCTCATAGGCCTTCTTCTGCTCGATCGTCTCATAGTTCAGGGCTTCAAAGAAGATGTCCAGCACCAGGATGTTCTCCCTGCGTGGGCAGAAAGCGGCGTCAGGTCGTGGTGCTGGAGAGATGCACTGCCGCCCCGTACCTGTGGTGCGTTACCCGATGTACTGCTCCGACTTGTTGTACTTCTTGGCCAGGTACTTGGCGGAGGCTTTGCTGGGGATCTTCACCATGGAGAGCTCTTTGCCATAGCGGGTGACGTTGCAGGGCATCTCACAGACACAGTACTCATTGTCCTTCTCCACCAGGAAATCTGGACAGGAAGAGAGATTTAGATGGGGATGTGGGAAACCCCGATGCCATCGGTTCAGTCCCGTGGGACCGGGCAACCTCACCTAAGGCTGGATCTGCGCACTCCTTGTACTGCTCTGGGGTGCAATAAGGGGCATCACCTGTGGGCGACAGAACAGGTTTCCTATAGGACCATATCCACTGGATTTGGGATGGGACATAGTGATGCATAGCTCACCTGGCATGTGCACCATGCGGCAGTTGCAGTTCTCCACCAGGTAGCGGGTCTCGCAGTCGATGCGGCAGGCCGTGATGCTGTAAGTGTCGTAGAACTCCGAGTCACCCGTTGTGGCCTTACAGTCGCCCCAGGGAGGTGGCAAGTAGATGAGCTGAGAGGGAAGCCAGGGATAAGAAGAGAAGCACACGTCCCTGCTGCCCACAGCATGGTGAGGGGATGGAGCCTTGTGCACCGCTCCCCATTTCCATCCCACAATGGGGCAGGAGACAGGGAGTGCAGAGGCTCAGCACTCTGGGGTTGGGAGGGATTGAGCAGGGCCCACAGCCCCTACCCGCTGCTCCTGGCAGGACACAAAGGTCTGGAAGCCGGGTGCCACACCGAATCCCAGCTGGTCGATGAGTGGAGGCTCATCCTGGCTGTGGATCTGCACCTTGATCCCGGCTTCAAATGAGGTCTCATCTGTAGCAGAGAGGAGCAGAGAGGAGCTGAGCCCTGGTGCAAGAAGGAAGAAAACTCTTCCTGTCTCCCACCCTTCCCTTTGGTGAATACACTCCTTCACATGTCCATGCATCCATCCATCCATCCACTCTGTGTCCTTGTCCCCTCCAGCCCTGTGGTCCAGAGCTTGGAAAGAACAGTGTGGAAAGTGCCTGGCTCTATTTATAAACAAGTGATGGCTGCTTTTCTAAAGCGACAGGGAGTTGCCATGGCAAATAGCATAGACAACGAGGAAAAAAGAAAGCCAAAGACCTGAAGTGGTGAGAAACAGAAGGAAGGAGCCTTGGGGATGTGGTCCTGTGGGGTGTGGAACTGGGAGGCTGCTGGAAAGCAGCCCAGAAGCTGCTGGGTTACCTGTTTCCCCCCACACTGGGAGGTACTCGTCCTGCTGGATGTCCAGCATGATCTCCAGGCCGTTGCCAGTGCCCCCTTTCATGGTGATGAGCCGGGGTTTGCCGTCCTGCCCTGCATTGAAGGTGTAGCACTTCCCATAGCGTGTGAACACCTGTGGGAGAGGACACAAGGCTGAGGCTGGGGCCCCTGTGCTGGCACCAGACTGCCACTGGCACTACGATATGGAGTCAGAACCCACCCCAGAATGCAGCCATGCCCAGCCTGGGGAACAGCCAGACCCAGACCCCTGCCCCATGGGGTCTCTTAGCATCGGAGCTGCCTTTGCCCTGGTAGAAGGACAAGATCCCCACCAAGGTGGTGGGTGCAGGTCAGTGAAGATGCTTTGCAGATTTGCAGCACTGTGATCCCGCAGCACTCAGCCCTGTGCCCTCACCAGTATCTGCCCCATCACCTCCAGTCCCACAGATGGGGGCTGGATAAGATCCTCAACATTGTCCCCCCACATCTCCTCTCACCCATTCCAGCTCTCACCTCTGGCTGCCAGCACAGCTCCATGCTGCTGAGCTGCCACTGGCAAAGGGATCATTTGGGGCCAGCAGGCTGCAGGCTGCACAGTGCCAAGCCCAGATCCCAAAGTGTGGTGGGGATATGAGGATGGAGGTGTCTCATCAACACCAACACCACCAGGATGCCTGGGTGCCTGTCCCCAAGCATGGACAGCATCACCCATCGTGGCTGATCTGACACGATGCTGGTGGGAGCTGCTCCCTGGTCCCTTTCCTCTCCTTATGGGGCCAGGAGACAGGCAGCAGGAATCCTCCAGGAGCCTGCTCTATGCCCAGAGCTTTGCTTTTCCCCATCCCAAGCTGCGAACGCGGCGCTCGTCATACTGAGCAGCCCCAGGTAATGGAAAGGGGAGAGGAGAAGGTGCGACTGTAGGGCAGGTAAGGGGCGACAGGAGCCAGGAGATGACAGTGCCAGGCAAAAGAACTGTGCCACCATCTGGTCCCCAGAGCAGTGGGACAGGGCTACTCACCGCCACGAAGTCTCCGGGGCCACACTGCTCGCCCCGGTAGCTGCAGCTCAGCAGCATGTCCTCCAGCTGGTGGCAAGTGCGGTTAAAAAACCCGTGCAAATTTAGGGGTTCATCCTCATCCCAAGAGCTGAACTGGGCTGGGACAAAGCCCAACTCCATCCCGGGCTCGTAATCAACCAGGGGCGCGAGGTAGAGCAGGTCCTCGTGGCTGAGCTGCGAGACCCGCACCCGGTTGATGTTGCAGAAGGTGACGGCGGGGAAAGTCATCTCGGGGCTGTCCTCCTCACTGAGCAGTGTGACGTGGTGGTACTCCAGGTAGTACACAATGCGGTCGGCCACCTGGTAGAGGAAGACGGAGAGGGACAGGAGGAAAGCCAGCGCCCAGAACGCCTGCCGGGCACCCAGGCTGCCCTCCACGAAGATGTGGCTCAGCCCGTGCAGTGTGCAGCTGCTGGCAAAGGCCACGAAGTCTGTGGCTGCCCCTGTGTCCTCCTCTTGCTCCTCTTCTTCCTCCTCCTGCCCGTACAGGAACTCATCGGCTCTGTTCTCTCCTCTCCCAGCTGCTGTGGCATCTCTTGGTGTTTCCTCGCTGGAGAAGGAGATGGTGCAGAATATCTGGAGGGGCATTATGCAGAATGGGGATCCCAGGTGTGGGGTGGGGGTCCTGATCCTGCTGCAGATTGGGGGTCTCCAGTGGTGAATCAGTGCCTCATAGAGTGGGTGAGAGGGGCTGGGTTGGAGGAAAGGGAAAAGTTGGGAGCAGAGAAAAAGAAGGGAAAAGGAGTGAGAGGTGTGCAGTGATGCGCAGAGCGAGGGGAGAGGAGCAGAAGAAGAGCAGAGGGCTGCTCGGGTGGGGGGGGGGGTGGTTGGAGAGGAGGGGACATGAGGAGCTGGGGAGGAGCGATGGGCGGTTCTGCAGGCTCCCCGCTCCCACTGGAGCAGCCCGGCTGCGGCTGGTAGGACGGAGTGAAGACGTTGCTGGCTCTGGTATGCGCTGCTGTGCTGGGAGCTGAAGGGCTGCCAGATCCGGGGTGCACAGCTGTGCATGGACGGGTGTGCACAGATGGGGGGTGCATGGATGGGTTTACGTGGATGTTGTGCGTGCAGGCACCTGGTATGCTGCATCCTCCATCCCCAGCAGCCTGATCAGAGGTTCCATCCATGCTGTCCTGCCGCGTGCCAGGCTGTTTCCGCAGCCTCCATCTGCTCGGCTCACCGGGGTCTCCAAGCTCTTCACGTGGCAGCCAGAGATTGCCCAAAGCTCCGTGTCACTGTCCTGCCTTCATGCCCATCTGGGTGGTGCCAGTAAGGATGCTGTGGTGTCCCCAAGTGCTCCGTGTTGCCCATCCTGGTCTCACTCATCCCCATGGGCTCATCTCCCCGCACAGTGGGACAGCGATGTGAGCGTAGGTGATGCCTGAGGTTGGGTATCTTCCAAGCCCACGCTGCTTTTTGCAGGATTTGGGCATCGTCATGTTTTGGGCGATGCCTCCTCCTGGAGAGCCACGCAGTGCATCGCCCCATGTTCTGTTCCATGTGGGGCACAGGGAACCCCTAGTGTCGGCGTTCAGGTGTGCAGGATGAGATTTGGGAGGCAGCCTTGGGAAGGCGTGGGGCTGGAGCTGGGTGAATCCAGGAGCAAAGGCATCACCCCCCACTCCCTGCAGCCCTGCGGCAGCACGGCCCCTTCTTGCGGTTTGCTTTTTTCCTGCACTCAGCACTTTGTAAAAGCATCCAGTGTGACCACAGAGCAATCTCCAACCCCATCCCAGCACCGCAGCCGCCATCGGCAGCCTGAGGGGAGCGGAGCTTCTGTATGTGGCACCACTTGCATGCACAGGAGCCGGGCAAGGGGATTTTGCTGATGCATGGGTGCAACTAGCACACACCCCAGCCCCTGCGTCAGCTGTGCATCCTTCCCCAAGTGGCTCCTGGTCCCTGTGCACCTCTGAGCTCACGGACACATGTATTCCCAAAGCAGGTGAACAAATGAAATCAGGAAACCACTGAAGAACGGCTCTGATCCCTGTGTGAAGTTATCAGCTCTGCCAGAGCAAGAGATGAAATGTGTGGGGCGTGCACAGGGGACTGCCACCAAGGCTCAGCCAGGAAGACAAATGCCATTGGGACAATGATGGGATAGCACTGTGTTACCTGAGGGTCCACCCTAGGTGTCCCCACACCCAATATTCCCCCAAAGGGCCCTTTGTGTAAAGGGAACAAAGCAGAAGAACCAGACACAAAGCCAGGGAAAGCAAGCAAGCATGGGGTGACCTTGGGGACAAGCGTCAGAGCCACAGGATGAAATTTCATAGGGCTGAGAGCAAGGTTGTGCCTTTGGGGAGCAACCTGGAGCCTCAGCTGGAAAAATCCTGGGAATGCAGCTGGGACCAGGGAGGTAGAAACCAGCAAGCCACAGGGACCAGTCACAGCCCTTTGGTATTTGGATGGAGATGAGCTACAGCTGCACCATGGGCAGGGCCAGGCTTTAAAAGGCATCAGCTGGGAGAAGGTTTGGGGATGTAGGGTTGTTCAGTTTTGGGATGCAGGGGTTTGGGATGTAGTATGGGAGCCAGCCCTGGTGAATGAGCAGGTGTGAGCTGGCTGAGGTCAGGGTGGGTTTTCTTCTGTTCCCTGGTTCTGTTGTGAGCAAGCTGTTAATGCAGTCTAATGGTATGGGGGGGTGGGAGGGGACTTTCATTGTGCTTTTCAGGAGCAATTGCAGCAGGGTGAGGGAGGTGCTGTAATGAAAGCACTCTATCATTGTCTCACTTGGCTGAAACCTGGGGGGGAACTCTGGGGCTGTTCCTGGGAAGGACAAATGATGCCTGGGGGTGAATGCTCAAGGGGATGAAGGTGACTAGGAATGGTCAAAGCCAGAAGCATAGCAGAACTCAGAGGAACCCATCCTGACCCTGTGGCTGGGGACAGTTTATGGCTGTGTCCCCAAGTTGGGGACATGGGGTCACCATCCCAATTTCTGTGGATTTTGGAGATGTCGGAGGAGCCCTTGGGTTCTCTCCAGCTCCTCCCTCACCAGGAGATATTTTTTACCCTCTTCCAGGTAACGCTTTTGCGGGGGAGGAGGATGAGGGATGCTATAATTAACTGTGACATCAGCCCCCGTGGCAGCATGCGCCGGGATGCCACCACTGTGCCCCCAACCTGGGGAACGGGGATGCTCGGTGCCATTGCGTCCCCCACAGCAGTGGGACCGTGGCAGCAGAGCGGTGTTTCCTGGCTCCATCGCGGTTTCTGCCCTCTGTCCGATCCCGCAGCGCCGGCACGGGCCGGGAGCACCGAGGTTCCCCGGAGCAAGGGAGCACGGAGGCGGCGGGGAAGGAGGGAGGCGGATGGGGGATTTGACAGCAGCGGCAGCAGCGCATTTCACAGCCTGTCACGCTTTAATGGCAGAGGAGATCAAAGCCGGGATGGAGTTATTCATAGAGATAAACCAATCCCCGAGGAGGCGAGGAGAAAACAACATTGTGAGCTCTGTTATCCCAGGCATGCAAAGCGCAGCCCGGCCCCAGGAGGTGCCGCGGGTTCGCCTGGTTCCGTACCGAGGCGCTGGGGTTGGATGGGACGCATTGCAACCCCGTAGCTGCCGGGAGCAGGGGAGGGAGGGGATATTTGGTGGGGCAGAAGGGCTGCCCTGCACCTGCATTACGCAGCAAGAGGGAGAAAAGCAGCTTTGCGACGCGCCCCGGTGCCCGGGGTGGCTCTGCCCCACCACGGGGCGGAGATGGGGAAATCTCCGTCTCTCAGAGGTGGAGGAGTGGGGTGGGATGCGGGGATCCTGCGGCACTAATCCTACCGCCTTTATCAGATGCTACCACCTTGCCTCTGCTCGCTCCACCGGCCAAGCTGGGCGTACTGGTGTTATCCGCCCCTTTATCCCCAAGATTAGACGCTTCACAGTGGATTAGCATGTCACATTCTAATGCAGAAAAAAACGGTTATTTAAATGAAATTTATAAAAAAAAAAAAGTTTTTGTCCATCTGTATGGTTCCCCACTGCTGTCTTTTGTCCCCGTGGGTGCAGCTGTGGGGAATGGAGCTGGTGGGTGATGTGGGATCGCTGCTCCAGACTCAGGGGACAAAGGATGGGGACA